TGGGCTAGGCACTAGAGCCCCCGGTTCAGGTGAGGAAACAGGCAAGGCGAGTCTGCGCCCGGTTCAGGGGCGCCCAGCCTGAGAATGCAGGAAGGAGGTGCACAGCTGTCTGTCTGGTGGTCTGTCGTCCCGTGCTCTCCCCAGCCCCAGCCATCTCTGGGCTCCAGAAAGAATACACAGCCCCGCCCTCCGGCTGGTTGACATTTCTGCACTGACTGCTGGAGAAACAAAGGTAGCGCAAAAAATTGAACATAAAGATTGATATTTCTCATTGACTTTGCCTTAAGATGTTGGGTAATTAGATAGTCACTTTTCTGTCTCTGAAGTTTCCCGTTCTACACAGTACAAGGGAATCTGTACTGTTTTGTTAGGCAGAAACAAGCCCGGGCAAATGCTTGCAGGGCGTTTTCCGTCCTGAACCAAGACGGTGACATGTTGGCCCCACCAGGAATGAACCGTGGACGCTCCTCACTCCGCCCTCCCCACCCCTCACCGGCACTCACAAGGGTTACTAGCGGTGCCAGAAGCCAGCACAGCAGCCCGCTGAACTCATTAACCCACATAAGCCTCACAACTCCATGAGGTAGTCCTATTGCTACCCCATTTTACAGATGAAGAAACTGAGACATCATGAATCGACGTCCCAGAGCTCGTGTGGGGAAGAGCTGGAGGCTGGTCTTGAACAGTCCAAACAACAGAAGCCAAGCCTGTCCCTTTCATTGTACCCCACGTTCCCTCCAGTCCTCCCACAAGCCCCCTGGTGCTTCCCGTCTCTGCTACAGGTGAGGAACTGAGGGTCTGCAGGGTTTGGGGTCTTCAGGGTCCCACGGCTGGCCTGTGCCTGGAAGGTCCAGAGCCCTTCCCATGCGCCCACTACACGAGTCCACCTGGGGCCTGGGACCCAGGAAACAGAACGCTGAGGGACCCATGAGCATATATTTGAGGTTAGGAAAGAATAAAAATCAAAACCCGTGGAAAGCAGCCAGCGTGACCAAAAGCTGTGGTCCTGGGTTTAACTACCCTGCGGCAGCCGGCCCTGGGGTGACTCATGATGGCCAGTGTGACTCAGCCTGCAGCGTGTCCGGGAGCCATCAGACGCGGCCCACCTCGGGACTCCTCGTCGTCGAACAAGGACTGGAGTGTGTGCCTTGAAACCCGGGTGGAAGTGTCCTCCCAGAGATGTTAGAGGAAGACTCTGTCTGCCCAACGCCATTTGGGAATCATCTTCCCCCCTAGGGGCTGGCAGGAGAAGGCGCTCCAGGAACAATCGCTGGGGTCATTGCTCTAAGCTTCAAATTCAGAGAAGAGGGTCCATGGGCAGCCAACGCCTCTAGCTAAAGAACAGTTGGCACCAGGTTGATGGGCAATGATTAACGGATGCAATGTCACTCCTTAGAAACTCCCAAGGTGGCTCTGTCGATGACATCTGGCCCCGACTTCTATTATTACTGACACCCCATCAGCTGACCAAGGTTGTTCTCATGGTTCACTGTCATCTGGGACCCCCAGCTCAGGCAGCAGAGGGGGACAGAGTGGGGCACAACACTCCAAGATGTGTTCAAGGGCACACCCCAGGGTTGGGCGGCTGGAGGATAACTAAGGTGGGACACAGCCAGAAGATGGGGTTCTAAGTAGCCGTGTACAAGGGCGTTTTGGACCACTGTCTGATGACATAAAGAAGAGCTTATTTCAATGACCGCGCATACGCAGTCGGAAACATGCCAACGTGTCCGCTGTGGCCATTTCTGAGCAGCGCAATTGACAATATTCTCAGGCACTTTTTATTCTGATCTGTTTTACAACCACCATGCGTCTCCTACACAACAATGAATGTAAAGAAAAGGCAACATCTAAAATGAACAGGGGGCGCCTGGGTGGCTCAGTTGGTTGAGCGACTGCCTTCGGCTCAGGTCATGATCCTGGAGTCCCGGGATCGAGTCCCGGGATCGAGTCCCACATTGGGCTCCCTGCTCAGCGGGGAGTCTGCTTCTCCCTCTGACCCTCCTCCCTCTCATGCTGTCTCTCATTCTCTCTCTCTCAAATAAATAAATAAAATCTTTTAAATAAATAAATAAATAAATAAATAAATAAATAAATAAATAAATAAATAAATAAATAAATAAAATGAACAGGACCAGGCGCCTGGGTGGCTCAGTCGTTATGTGTCTGCCTTTGGCTCAGGTCGTGATCCCAGAGTCCTGGGATCAAGCCCCGCATGGGGCTCCCTTCTCCGCGGGGAGTCTGCTTCTCCCACTCCCACTCCCCCTGCCTGTGCTCTCTCTCTCGCTGTATCTCTCTGTGTCAAATAAACAAAATCTTAAAAATAAAATAAAATAAAATAAAACAGAACCTTAGGAATCAGATCCAGATTTAAATACCCGCTCCACAACGTGATCGTTGGAATGACCGTGGACGTGACTGACCACTCGGAGCCTGACGTTCCTCGTTTGTAAAACGGGGCTGATGAAGGGAGACTGTCACACAACCTCCTAATGCATGCCTCCCGCTGTTCTTTACATGGCAGGTGTTCTCCTAACAGAAGAGTCCTCTGCCCCAGGCTCAGCACCACGGCTGAGGCGGGGGGCAGATTTGCCTCAGCCCCTCTCCTCTGAAGCTGAGAGCCAGCGAGAGAGGTTGCACTGGGAGCCTGCTGCTGAGCAAAATCAAAACTTACAAAACCCCTGGGTTGCTCATTTTTTCGTTTGAAAGGGCGGTTGGTCCCACTTGAGGAAGCAGTTGCAGGAGGGGGGCTCCCGTGACAGAAATATGAGGCTGTGCCCTTGGGCTGCTTCTCTAGTTTACTCATTTTCCCCAGAAATCATCTCTGACTCTCTCTGGATGGAAGTGTTCTCTGCACTTCCTGGGAATCCAGACACCTTTTTTTTTTTTAATAACAGCTTGTGATATAATGCACCTACCATTCAATGGCTTTCAGTATATACAGAGCTGTATCACCACGAGCAGGTTTAGAAAACTGTCATCTCCCTGAGAAGAACTCCTTCAGCCATTGGCAGTCACTCCTCCTCCCCCAGCCCTAATCCTAAGCCCCAGTCCACTTTCTGCCTCTACAGATTTGCCTCTTCTGGACATTTCACATATGAAAGGAGTCATGCTCTGTCGGTCCCCTGTGACTGGCTCTTTCACCGAGCATAACGCTCTCATGGTTGAAGCGTGTATCTGCCTCATTCTTTTTTAATGACGAGCAGTATTCCATTGTATGCATACACCACATCTTATTTATCCATTCACCAGTGATGGACACCAGGCATCCTTCTTGAATTTAATATATTCCCTGTAATGATAGTGATCGCTGAGCACCTGCCATGTGCTAGGCACTTGACCTAATTTCTAACACTTACAACAGCCCAGGGAGGCAGGGCTGGTTCTCCCATCACACTTATAAAAGAAACCAAGATGTAGAGGTGAAGTGGCCCATCCAAGGTCCCACTGGTGACAGAGAAGGAATCAAAGATGGGTTGGCCTAGGCACCCCTCCCCTGGTCCACGTTCTTCCCATTGCACAACCGTCATCCCTCTACCCCCGTGTGCTCCGCTTTCTCCTTCCAGTTGGCTCTGAGACCAGAAAAAGAAAGAATCCTCCCATTAAGTGACGGCTCATTGAACAAGCCCTAGCTGACACCACGTGGGAGGCCAGCACGCATTAGTCACCGAGCCAGGTGGCCACCTCGTGGGGCTCATTGCCCAGGTGATGAGAGGTCGTCATGCAAGGGGACAGGCGCTGGTCACTGAGAAGGGTACGACCCACGGCTGGGAACACAGGGCTGCTAGAGAGCCCAAGGAAAGATTTTTAGAGGAGATGATATTTTGAGCAGGACCCCAAGGGACCAGGCCGGCGGCTCTGGCAGAGGCAAGCCTATGCAGAGGAACGGATGTGCTCACAGACCTGGAGACCAGGAACCTGGGTCCATGGGGATGAGTTCTGTCATCCTGAACATGGGAGGGGAAAAGCAGGGAGAGAGGTTGGAATCACACTGCGGGAGCCTGCCGTCTGAGCTGTGTCCTGTGGGCAGGAAGCCACCGAAAGCTTTGAGCAAGATAACAAGATAAAAGCCATCATCCGTTAACACTCCGGTGTCTGTCTTCAGACCCAGGTTCCCTGGCCCCTGGAAATGATCCTTCTGCGGTTCACAGCAGAGCTGGCTTCAGACTCCCGTACATCTTTGTACCCCCAGCACCTAGGACAGGGCCTGATGCACGGCAGCAGCTCAATAAACATTTGTTGAATGAATGAATGAATGAATGAATGAATGAATGAATGAATGAATGAATGAATGAATGAACCAACCAACCAACCAATCAATCTGCTGGCCAGCCCCTCCCCGACACCGGCCTCTCCCGGCTAGGTGGAATAATACAGCTAACGTGTTCCAAATTCTCCCACCTCGCCCACCTACCCTCTCTCCCTCACAGCCTGTCACCTTCTCCCTCCTTGCTACCCCTCTCCTTTCCGGTCACAAGTAGTAAAGGAACAAACGCTCATGTACTCCCACCAGGTGCTAAGCAATCACTTCATTTTTTTATATTTATTTATTTTTAGCAGCAACTACTTTAGATTCTCACAACCGCTCTCAGGGCCAGAAATGATGAACTACACCTTGCAGGTGAGGAAACTGTGATTCGCAGGGGTTACGGGACCAGCCCACCTGCTGAGCGGCAGCGCTGAGACTCCCAGGGGCCTTCTGCTCCCACGCAGGGCTCTCAGCTGGGGTTGGGGAGTGGCGGCGGGGGGAGGACGAGGAGGCCCAGGAAGGAATGGAGGGAGGGGCGTGGTCTCGAGCCCCTGGCCCCGGGACCAGGGGAGTGGATCGGGGGTCGGAGGGCTCTAGCTCCACCTCTGGATCCAGGGAGCTGCAGCCAGCTTCCCCCACTCCACTCCTGCGGCCACTCCCCCAGGCTGCAGCACCCTCAGGGACGCACGAGCACGCACGCGCCCGTGCACGCACACAGAGCAGCCCAAAGCCTAGAAAGCCGCACGAGGAGTTGCCTTCGGCAGAGAGGTTTTATTTTTCTCTAAGATTATTCCCCAGAGAAATGTTTTATATGATGCCCACGGTAAAGCGCGGAGGGAGCCACCTCTAAGTGCCGAGCGCGACGGCCAAGGTCATGACCAGCTCATTCTTCACCTGGAGGCTTGCCTGGCGCGAAGGGCTCGGCACACACAGGCTTAACGGCCAAAGAGGTCCGAAGAAGTAGGGGGCACACTTCCTCCCTCATCACATCACCTCCCCTGAGACCAGGTGTCTACCAAAGTCATATGCTTCCTGCTCCGAAACCAAGAACTTCCGTGCGCCTTTGCTCAGGGCCTACAGGGCAGCAATCAGCGTGGCGCCGGATCGTCTTCTCTTGCGAATCCAAGCGTGTGCTAGCAGCTAAATGTCTTTTTTTAAAAACAAAAAAAGAAAGAAAAAGTAATGGCTACTTATCAGTAGCCTGCGCAGGCCAAGTACTCCTGGACGTGGGGTCCTCAAAGGTGGGGAAAGATTAGCAAAGCATCGTTGGGGCTGGAAAGCGAGAGCTTCTGAGCTAGGCGGTAGCAGGAGAGCCCCATTCCTGCCGGCACTCCCAGTACACCATGATGGGGTGGACGAACGTCAACACAGTGGCAAGGACCAGCATCACGTTCACCTGGGGGAGAGAGATGGGGCAGGTGAGGTCCAGAACTCTGAGCGGCCCCACGAACAAAGGGGCCAGAACTGTGCCAGGTGCGGCCTCTACGTTCTCCTCAGACCCGACGGTGCCCCGGGGAAAGCCTTCAGTTATTCAGTTATAGGGGAGGAACAGTGTGCCCATTTCAGAGATGAAGAAACAGAGGTCTCGAGAGCACTCGATGACTTGCTCAAGGTCACAGGGGAAGTTGGGGACAGTGGCTAGAACACACGTCTTCTGAATACGGTTGGAGTCGTCTGACACAACAAGCAGGAAATTCTCCCCAGTTTTTAGTTCAGTCCTGTTTTTTTTCTCCCGAAGACTGACTTAAACTCCTGCTCTACACGTTGCTGATCTTTTTTTAAATGAGGCTAAGGGAGCTGTGCAATGGTCAGAATACTGAATTCAAAGTCAAAAGACTTCTGCTCCTTAGCTATGTGCTTCTGAAATGTAAGTCACAGAACCCAAATCCCCGAACCTACGTCTTCAATCTGCAAAGAAGTGGAGAGCCATGCCCACCTCCCACCTCTCAGAGCTGGACCCACGAGCATCCCTCGGGTGTGGGGACGCCGGGGTGAGACCACAGAGCTCCTGCCCCTCGAACCAACGTTGGGAACCCGTGCGTATTGTTGCCCCAGAGCCGGGGCCGGGCTCAGCCTGCACCCACCACAAGCAGGAAATGTCTTTAAAGTTTTGGCTTTTTACTTGGAATCTGTGAGAATTTTACATTCTCCTCCAGAATATGTCTATGTGTTTCCCCACACATAAAAAATATTTTCTCGGGCGCCTGGGTGGCTCAGTTGGTTAAGCGACTGCCTTCAGCTCAGGTCATGATCCCGGAGTCCTGGGATCGAGTCCCGCATCAGACTCCCTGCTCAGCAGGGAATCTGCTTCTCCCTCTGACCCTCCTCCCTCTCATGCTCTCTGTCTCTCATTGTCTCTCTCGCAAATAAATAAAATCTTTTAAAAAAAAAATTTTTTTTCTCCCCAAATCTCTAATAATATAGACTCTCTTGGAAGCCATGCCATGTTAGTCTTGCGGTTTCAGGTACCTCAGCCATAGGGCAGGGTACTCTGCTACCCCAGTTTGAGGAATAAGACCAAGGATGTACCCATGTGCAGAAACAGTCCTGCAGGAACCATCTCAGGCAGATTTGGGGCACCCCCTGCTGGGGCCCCACTGAGGCGTCCCAATCTGGATGTCCTTGCTGGTCTAAGGACAGGACCACACCCCCCTCCCCCCAGTACTCACGTAGAGCGGGTCATTCTGGAGCGGGCCTCTGATGAAGGTGAAGATAGGGAACTGGAGCAGAGATACAATGGCTGATAAGGCCATCACCAGCCCAAAGAGCTTCCCAAAGTGCTCCGAAGGGAAACTGGGGAAAGAGACAAACGGGGTTCCAGTGAGCTCCCAGGACCCTCCCTCCAAGGAGGAACCTGGCCGTGGTGGGCCTGCATCAGCCACTTGTTCCCAAGTCCCCCGTCCTAGGCCTGGCTTCACCCTCCCACGCCCACACAGACCCTCCCCCCCTTCACCTTGACTCAAGCCACAGGACACAGAGAAGGCACTGTGCAGGGACCCAGACACAGGCTGTGCTTGGAGAGGTCTCAAGGAAAAGACAGATGCATTAACAGACCACTCCATGCTGGATGCTGCATACGCTAGCAAAGGAAGCAAGAACAGAGTGCCGAGGGCACAAAGAAGGAAGACTGTCTCTTCCTCACTCTTCCCTGAGAGAGTTGAACCAGAAGTGGACCTTGGAGGGTGAATAGGAGTTCACCGGGTAGATAAAAGAGGCAGAGAGAAGAGCTGACATGAAGGCTCAAGTTCGTGAATGCTCTATCCCTTCCACCAGCCTCTAGCTCTACTTCACCCTCTACACCTGCTCCCAGACCCTGCCTCCCTCAGTGGACCACCCCCAGGTCCATCCTCACCTCCTGACTTCTTTACCTCCAGCACACTTCCCTTTGCGCTGGCACGTCCCCGTGGGGTAACGCAGCCCAAGCCCACTTACGCGAGGGTGAGGAAGGCAGCGTTGCCCCCGTACAGGAAGGAGCGGCTGATCACTTGCAGGATGAAAGTGACATACTGGAGGGGCAGGATGGGCACCGAGGCACAGAGGGCGAAGCCCAGGCACAGCAGAGACGTCAGGGCCAGAGAAGGCACGGCCGAGCGGAGGGCCACCGTCGTGGCCGAGGACCCTGGTCCAAAGGGAAGAAGAGGCTGTGTGGAGGCGAGCACGGTGGCGGGCGGCGACAGGGCACGAAGATGGGAGAAAGGGCGGAGCCACCGTCCACCCACCGTCCAGGCAGAAACCGCTCCCTCCCAGTGCTCATCTCCAATCCATCAATCGGCGCTGATCATTCATCCCCTGAATGCCATTCAAATGCATCCACTGCTCTCTACCCCCACCTGCTGTAGGTCTCCATCAACGCACGCCTGGATTGTGACAGTGGCCTCCTAGCAGGGACCACATGCTCTGGCCCCTCCACCCCACAGCCAGGTAAACCTCACTGCACTCGGGTGATGGCAACAGACAAACAGCCGCCACCCAGCCGCCGCCCGGGCCAGGCTGCATCCACATCGATGGTTGGAAGGAAGGAAGGGCGTGGGAAGGAAGGACGGACGGAGGAAGGGGGGGAAGGAGGGGCAGCGGCATTCATCAGTCCTATTGTTACTGATAGCATTGATATTGTGAAGCCAGGCATTATGCACAAACTACATTTTTAAAATGCTGTATATGCGTATGTGTACATAGAGGGCCGCACGCGGCAGACGGATATACACTATAAGTATACGGCATTGTTAGGAATGACGATCTTCAGAGGAAAAGAGACACAGATATAATATCAAGAGTAAAATCAAAATAAACTATGAATTAAAACATCAGTACATCTTACCTCTACCCAAGACCTAAAAGCACAGACGACCCAGGAGAACTGGAAGGCCGAGCATCCAGACTGCAGTCTTTAAATACCATTTCCCACTTAGCGGGACCCAGGGCTACTTGGAGAAACGGCTGTTTCAGGTCCGGGGCAGGAAATGCACCCCCTGAAACAGCCCCGAACATCTCACTGTGCTAGAGAATAAGACACTCTCTAAATCTGATGGCAGCGTGTTAAAGGATGCTGATTCTGCATTGGTAAAGTGCCTGATAGCCAGAGATGGACTGATTGGAGCATACAGAAGAATCATGACTCTTCCTCACTCTTCCCTGAGAGAGTTGAACCAGAAGTGGACCTTGGAGGGTGAATAGGAGTTCACCGGGTAGATAAGAGAGGCAGAGAGAAGAGCTGACATGAAGGCTCAAGTTCATGAATGCTCTATCCCTTCCAGACTGAAACCCATCAAATATATTTAAAATGAGGCTTTAAAACAGAAGCTACGGGGGCGCCTGGGTGGCTCAGATGGTTAAGCGTCTGCCTTTGGCTCAGGTCATGATCCCTGGGTTCTGGGATCGAGCCCCGCATCGGGCTCCTTGTGCAGCGGGGAGCCTGCTTCTCCCTCTACCTCTGCTGTTCCCCCTGCTTGTGTTCCCTCTCTCTCTCTGACAAATAAATAAAATCTTTAAAAAAAAAAACAGAAGCTACGTTAGGGGCGCCTGGGTGACTCAGTCAATTAAGCATCCAACTTTTGGTTTCAGCTCAGGTCATGATCTCAGGGTCAAGCTTGAGATTCTCTACCTCTCCCTTTCTCTCTCTCCTTTCTCTCCACCCCTCCCCACGCTCCCGCACTCTCCCCCTCTCTAAAATAAATAAATAAATCTTTAAAAACAATAATAATAAAAGAGAAATGACGGGCGCCTGGGTGGCTCAGTTGTTAAGCATCTGCCTTCAGCTCAGGTCATGATCCCAGGGTCCTGGGATCGAGCCCCGCATCGGGCTCCCTGCTCAGCGGGAGGTCTGCTTCTCCCTCTCCCACTCCCCCCGCTTGTGTTCCCTCTCTCGCTGTGTCTCTCTCTGTCAAATAAATAAATAAAATCTTTAAAAAAAAAAAAGAGAGAAATGACATTAAAAAGTAAATCAATTACTCAAATAAAAGAGAAATGACAAGTCATCCCCCCTAGAGGTTGCTGGGGCACCCAAGTCGTTATTCTGAAACTGGTACACATAGGAAAAACCAAGCACTTATTTCATGGTACAAAGCAGTCAATGAGGGAAAGCTTTTCTTTCTAGAGGAACTCTAGCAATTAAAAGCAGAAGGAAAGACAGAAATAGAAAATCTCCATTTTACAATCCTAATAAAATAATGGATCCCGGCAGTGATCACCCATAGCTACTAAAATCATTACCCGTGCAGCTGATGGGAAACTCTGTCCTGGGCGGATCAGACTGACAATGTCTGGACCCACCGGTCAATCCTAACATCGTAAGAACAGGGACAGTCGGGACCGGCGGGGGGGCTGCCGCCAGGAGCCAGAGGAAGCCCGCAGCTCCACCTCCCAAGCCTGCTCACCAAAAAATACTCAACGGCATCTCCTCAAGCCTCCAATCTGCCTGTTTACAGGAAATACCCAATCAGCGAAACATTTCTAAGTGATACCAAAAGATGCCAAATCCAATCTGGAGGAAATCTGATAGAACAAATGACCCAGTTTCTTCAACAAATAAACAACCAGAAAAACAAAACGTGGGGGGAGGGGAGGGGACGCACAGATTGAAAAAGATAGAGTAAGACCATCAACGAAATAATGGCGTAGACCCTGTGTGCGTCCTAATGTGAACAAACCAACTAGAAAAAGGCATATTTGAGACACTTTGGGAAATCTGGACAGGACTGCGTGTTAGAGGATGTTAAGGAATTACTGTTTTGTTTAATGATAATGATATTAGGGTGATGTTTCAATAAAAATGGTTTTATTTGTGAGAGACACGGACTGAAGTATTTACAGATGAAATGATCTGATGCCTGCAATTTGTCCTAAAATACCCCAGCAGGGGTAGGAGGGGCAGCACCGGGGAAGGGGGGTAACTCAGCGCCCCTCTGTTCCTCCAGGCACGTCCAAGGGTCGTGTCCATGCTCCTAAGCACAGCCACCTGCCTCTCCCCCATTCAGCCCCTTCTCCTCGGCGCCCCAGCCAGCTCAAGTTCCTTTCGGGGAGTCTTCAGGTTTTGCTTGCTCTTCATCACCTTGACCCCACTGTATTCCTGGGCTGTTCTCCCAGGGCCCTCCTCTTCATCTCCTCTCTTCTTGCTCATCCTTCAGGCCTCGGCTTAGAAGCCACTTCCTCCAGGAAGCCTTTTGGGACATCAAGCCCATCCTCACCCAGAATAGGCTAAGTGCCCTTCTTTGTGTCCCCATCACCCCCTGTGAGCTGACTTCATGGATGGTGACGCCTGATTACTTGCCCTTCATTCTCTAGACTGAGGACGGCCTGAGAATGAGGGCCTATTGGCCCAGTCCATGGTGGAATCTGGAACTATGGCTGGCACATAACAGACGCTCATCGACTAGTGGATGGATGGATGGATGGATGGATGGATGGATGGATGGATGGATAGATGCAAGGAGAAAAGGATTAAGAACAAAAGAGAATGTGGCTCTGGCCATGCATGAAGATGCCTCCCCTCCTGGTTCCCCGACCCTCTGCAGCCCAGGCCTCACCTGTGTTTTTGGCTTCCTTCTGGTACTTCTGCTTGAGCCGGTCCATGAGCAGGCCGTTCCAGGGGGCACACAGCACCCCGAAGAACTGAGTAATGGCGAAGGCATTTGTGTAGGTGCTGACTGCGGAGTGCAGAGAGGGGCTGGGTGGTACAGCATTTCCAGCACTGCCTTACAGGAGAGGACTCTCCCAGCCTGCCCTTGCCTGCCTGTCCCTCCTCCCCACACCCCTGCTCAGACTTCCTCCCGAGGATCTGCGCCGCCCAGCCCCCACCACGCACCCAGCGCTCTGTCCCCGCCAGCCAGGTTGGTGAGCAGCGAGTTGAGGGTGCCGATGAAGAGGTAATGCCACAGCTGTATGACGGACAGCCACACCAGGTGGCAGGCAAAGCGCTGGGAGAGGGCGTAACGCCAGAAAGAGCGGTGCTCCTGCTTCCTCCCTGGTTCCACGGTCTCTGCAGGGAAGGAAGGAAGCACCTGGGCATGAATTACAAGAAAGGAGGGGAGCAGGTGGGCAGGACCGTCTAAGGAGTGAACTCACCTCCTCTTCCTCCCGGACCGCAGATGCCTGCAACCAGCTCGTCCCGCCTCTATAGCTTTGTTATCCCGGCCCCACGACCCTCAGTGACCCGCCCATGTCCTCCTCTGTCCTGCTGAAACCCGGTCTGTCTTTCACAGCTTGGACTCAGTGACACTTTCTGTACCAGCACTTTCGTGGCCAGGACGGTGAAGAGAAAGACAAGGAGAAGAGAACGCAGACATTCAAGGAGAGGGGAATATGAGGGGCGGCCGGCTACTGTCCCAGCGGCCCCACGTCCCTTCCCCTGCTTTCCGTACCGGGATCCCGAGTCTGTTCTGGAAGCCGGGCCCTGCCTCAGTTCTCATGGTCCAGGTGGGGCCGTGAATTAGCTGTCCTATTCCTCACCCAGGGCTGACCGGTTCTATCGCAGACCAGCTGTAATGTTAGTCTGGGGGTCCCCAGAGGCATCCGGGTTCTCCTCTTCCCAGAGCCTGACAAGTTCATGTTTCCCTTGGTTCTCTGAGCTTCCCAGAATCCTGTTCTCGCTTCTACTTTGCCAGCAGTGGTTTGTGATGTTTATAACCAAAGACCCAGAACAGACGCTGCAGGGAAAGGAGGCAGGGAGCGGGGAGGAGGTATGAGGAGCCGAGGAGAGAGAAAAGAAGGACAGAAAGAGAAGACGCAGAAGCCATGCCCCTCTGTGGACCCTCCGTAAGAGGCGGGCAGGGGCAGGGGCAGGGGTTGAGAAGCCCCTACAGGTCCTCTGACAGACCTTTCCTGATGCTGCATCCCCGGGGCAGCTCCAGAAGCAGAGAACCCGGCCAGCCGCAGGGAGAAGTCAGGGTCCGAGGGGCAGATGGGTTAGCCGGGGGGCTCACCTTCCTTTGCTGGAGGGAACTCCTTGGTCTGCATCTCCACCTTATCAGACTCCGCTGTGTTCTTCTCTCCCTCAGTGGTGTCAGTCCTGGAGTGCAGGCTACGGACACAGAAGCCCCTAGCCCAACCCAAGGACTGTGAGCTGAGCCTGAGATTCAGGCCGCAGGGAACAGTGCGGGGGCTCCTGAAGTTCACCGCACTTTGGAGACACCTGTCAACGGCCGTCCCACCCAGGCCACAGCCCAGACCAGTTAAATGAGAATGCCTGGGCATGGGATCCAGTCTTCCAAATTTTTTTTAAAGATTTATTTATTTATTTTAAAGAGAGAGAGAGAGAGCAAGAGCGGGGGGGGGGGGGGGCAGAGGGAGAGGGAGAGAGAAGCAGACTCCCCACTGAGTGGGGAGCCCAACACAGAGCTTGATCTCACAACCCCGAGATCACGACGTGAGCCCAAATCAAGAGTTGGATGCTCAACCGACCGAGCCACCCAGGTACCCCCCAGGCTTCCATATTTTTTCAAAGATCTCTAGTGTTTCTAATATGCAGCAAAGTTTGGGAACCACTGGAAGCGTGGGAAGAACAGGCAAGGCCTGGGTTCGAATCCTGGTGCTGCCTCCTCCTAACCATAGAAGTATGGCTCAGACTTAGCCTTTCTGAACCTCTTTTTTCTCATTTGGAAAAAAGAGATGAGGATATTTATCTGAGAGGATTATTGTGCAATGCAATCAGAGGGCGCAGGGGCAAACAGTAAGTGAGCAACAAATCAATGCCCCCCACCACCACCACCCGAGGTGCTGACTGCAAAACCAGTTACATTTCTTCACCTCCCCTGTTCTGCAACCTCTGCAATGGGTCTTGGCAGCCCTGACGGGGTCCCCAGCCCCTGTATCTGGGCTGGCCCCAGATTTCTTGGAACCCTGGAACTAGCCTGATGGAGGAGGAGAGCCACATGACTCAGACATCTTTGTCACCCCAAAGGACTGCCAGACAAACCCCATGTGAGGCCATCCAGCCCAGCCAGCCCCAGCTAGCCTAGCAGATGACCAGAGGCCTGAGCGAGCCCTGCCAACACCATCCAGGCCCACCTCTGATCAGCAGAACTAGCCAGGTACCCACAGACTCATGAAAAACAATAAATGCTGAATGGTTTAGACCACTGAGTTCGGGAATAGTTTGTTACACAGCAACAGCTAACTGATACACCCTGGCCCAGGCCTGCTGTCCTGGGACAGGTCTCCTCTGCCTTGCTAGCACATCTGTCCCACCCCTGGCTTCCCACCACAGGTCAGGCGGAGGGCTCAGGCCCACAGTCGCCAGATCACAGTGCTTACCCGTAGCTGTAGTTGGGGGGCAGTGGATAGGGGATGTGGCCTCGGGGCATCAGGAGGAAAGTGCGCCCTACATGCCAGGCACTGCAGACTGAGAGGAAGATGAAGGAGGCCCTGAGGCTGACGCCCTGTTCATAAAGCAGCTGCAGAAGGAAGAGGAAAAGAGTCAGCATGACACCCATATTCATGGCAACATCATTCACAACATCCAAACGGTAGAAGCAAACCAAATGTCCACTGGCAGATAAATGGGCCAACGAACTGTGTGGCATACACATACGACAGGATAGGATTCACCCCAAAAAAGCCCTGACACAGGCTACAGTGTGAACTTGAGGACATCATGCTGAGGGAAATCAGCCAGTCACAAAGGGATCAATACCGCATGCTGCCACGCACATGAGGGGCCCAGAGCCATCCAAGTCACAGACACAGAAAAGAGAATGGTGCTCGCCAGGGGCTGGGCCTGGGGGGCTGGGGGGCTGGGGGATAGGAAGTCACTGTTTAATCGGCATGGAGTTTCAGTTTTGCAAGGTTGCAAAGAGTTCTGGAGATGGATGGTGGTCATGGTTGCACAATATGAATGAACCTAATGTCACTGAACTGTAGACTTCAGAATGGATAAGAGAGTAAATTTTATGTTCTGTGTGTTTTACCCAACAGAAGAGTCAGTGTAAGCAGCAGGGGCTGGGACCCCAGCCTGTCAGAGGCTCTTGCCCTCCATCCTGAAGGCTAATCAAGGACACCTGACGCACACATAGGCTCACCCTCACCCCACGGTTCGACAGCTGGGGCGGGGCAGGGGGGAGGGGCATGGTCACCCATCCCCACAGCCTTGGAGACTCTCCTAAAGTGGCTTCTCAGAGATCTGCTAGCCCACTGCTTTTTTGTTTTATTTTTTTTAATAGCAGCAAAGTCCTTTTACTTAAACAAAACTTCACACAAAAATTCAACTTATGAGGGGCGCCTGGGTGGCTCAGTTGGTTAAGCGACTGCCTTCGGCTCAGGTCATGATCCTGGAGTCCCGGGATCGAGTCCCACATCGGGCTCCCTGCTCGGCAGGGAGTCTGCTTCTCCCTCTGACCCTCCTCCCTCTCATGCTCTCTGTCTCTCATTCTCTCTGTCTCAAATAAATAAATAAAATATTTTTTTAAAAAAATTCAACTTATGAAACACATCAGCGGGAAGCGGCTCAGTCATCTTCCCCCTCATTCTCCTTGGTGACCGACCTAACACCGCAGAGAACCCCTCAGGGTTCCTCAACACCCAGTTTGGAAACCATTGATCTAGCCCACCTCCTCCTTTTACAGAGGGTCAAAGTGAGGTCCAGAGAGGTGCAATGAACTGCTCAAGGTCAGAGTCAGAAGCAGCAAGGTCAGATTAAACTAAGAGCTCAGATCCTACTCGGACACTCTCTCTCCTTCCAATTCTAAGGAGACAAAAGAGAAAGGAAGGCACACTTAGGGGAAGGAGGGAGAACCAGGAAACTGGCTCTTGTACCAGTGGTAGAGAGGCTTGAGTAAGTGCCCCTGGGGCTCAGCCTCTAGGTGGCCCTCCAAGCCAAGGTGCTCATGGGACTAAGCTAGCTAGTCTCATGTCTCGTAGTGACTCCCAGAGATCCTCTTCTCTTCCCCCATAGCCCATGGGCTGTACCCACTGCCTCTGGCCTAACACAAAGCCTGGAGGGAAATCCCAAGTTGGGCAGGACCTGCATTCTCTGATTCCTTCCACTCACTCATCCTTCGTGTCCTCCAGCTGGTGGCCTCATAATCACAGCATGGCTGCCACAACTCCAGCTATCACATCCTCCTACCACAACATTTGGAAAGAAAAATTGGGCAGGGGGACCAAGGAGAAAGGCTTCCTTTCAGCTCTGCTCTCACCTTCCATCAGGGAGGGAGAATGTCCCCTAAACTCTTCCAGGATACACACCCTTCATCTCATTAACAAGGACTGGAAAATATGACCACCTCTCCCCATCACTAACAAGGGGGAGAGGGATTGCCCCCGTTGGCTTAGGTCAATCAGGATTCATCCTCTGGGCTGGGCACCTCCCTGCCCAGGTAGAATTATTAGCAACGAAGAAGATGGAAAGACTGTCAGGTCAGGTGGGGGCCGCTAACAGCACTGGAACAGCCCAGCCCCCGGATCCCCAACACCAGCCTTTGGGAGAGCTGGAGAGGCCTCTGTGCCTGCCCCTGTTGCTCCCACTGGCCTCCTCTCACCTTCTAGTCCAAACCAGAAGCTCACAGGCACAAACACCCCCCTCCATGGGGCTCCCAGCCTCTGCCCAACACCGACCCAAGTGCATCACAGCCTCTCCCCAGAAATTCTAGGTCGGTGTAAAGAGCTTAATCACTACCAGGGGATGCTCCAGAACCAGACAGGTCTGGGCTCCAAGTTCAAGCGCCACGTTTACTGGCTGCAGGAGGCTTGAAGGAAAGAAATCAGGCAAAGTTCACAAGACAAGCATCTGGCACATGGAAGCGTGCAATACAGGTTGCTCATTGGTATTTTTTACCTTGATGACAAGGAAGACTGCCGAGGAGGAGTCAAACGCCCCGTTGTAGAGGGTGATGATGGTTGAGCGGTGTTTGCCAAAGAGGTTCCCAACCTAGAGAACAGAGGCGTCACTTCTTCCTGAGCTGGTTCTTGCCGTCCACGGGGCATGTGCCAGGCCCTCATTATACCCACACCCGCCTCCATCCCGGGAGCTTCCGCCCTGGCTCGAGCCGGCCCCACTGGAGGTAGCCCGCGCAGAATGGCGCTTCTCCCTCCCTCCAGCCAGGTGCCCGGGGTCAGGGCGGGCTCACACCTGCAGGTTGGTGATCAGAAACAGGATTCCTCCCACAGTAAGCATGGGCATGGCCAGGAAGAGCAGCAGGGCTGAGTCTGGAACAAAGACAGAGGTGGGGTGGTGTCACAGTGTAACCCAAACACAGAGCCCCAAACTCTGGCTCCCACCTTCTCCAAATTCCTAACAATCCTGGTGGCAGGGCCCCAATTCTAGCCAGCCTGCTAGCATCCTTTGAGGACCTTAAGATAGTGGTCAGGGCTCCCCCAAATGCCCCTGCCGAGGGACCCTGCGGAGGTCTCCTGGGCCCAAAGGTGGTCCTCGGTCTGTGGCAGGCCTGGCTGTCCACAGGCAGACGCAAGACTCTAAGTGAAGCCACTGCTCCCTTCGTTCATTAAACCCCAAGCAGCCCCTCCATTCATGCTTGACACTGTTGGGGAGAGAAGCCTGGATTCGGCCCCCAAGCACAGCCTCTAATTCACTGCAGGACTTGGAGCTGGATTCTGTTCTGTGACTCGGTCACCTCATCCGTTAAATGGGAATCACAGTCCTGGCTCTTTCCATCTCATGGGGTGCTGTGAGAGCGGAACAAGAACGGCCGTGAACTGTGGTTCCCTGGTCCATTAAACCGGGAGCGCTTCCTCGGTGCCAGGCATCATGCTCGGCCAGCAGGACCGAGACATCGGGAAAGAGCGTGTCCCACTCCAAGTCTTGGCAAGGCGTCTCTCGGCCGCCTGTCTTCTCCTCCACACAATGCGAGAAGAGGAGAATGAATCCGACTGAAATTCTCAGACTTTAGGAGTTTTCTCTGTCCATCAATCAGTAAAATGTGAAGCAAAAACTGCTGACTACAATAGGGCTGTCAACTTTTGCCCTACTAAATAAGGATATTTTTTAAAATGTAGGTATTAAAAAAATTTAAAAAGGTTAAAAAATAATTATTTTTTTAAATTATAGGGTTTTTTTAAAATAAAGGTTATTTTTGGGGGCGCCTGGGTGGCTCAGTCGTTGGGCGTCTGCCTTCGGCTCAGGTCATGATCCCAGGGTCCTGGGATCGAGCTCCGCATAGGGCTCCCTGCTTGGCGGGAGGCCTGCTTTTTCCTCTCCCCCATGCCCCCTGCTTGTGTTCCCTCTCTCGCTGTGTCTCTCTCTGTCAAATAAATAAATAAAATCTTAAAAAAAAATTAAAAAATAAAATCAAGGTTATTTTTTAAAATAACCCTCCTTCATACTATCATTTTGTTTTTAAGAAGAGAACACGTTAACACACACCAGAGGAAGGACGTAATCTTTCGAATAAATTCTCTCTGAAGCAGTCCCTCCATTGTCCTTATTTTTTGCATTTCTCAGTTGACTAGACTGGTTTCACAGACCAACAACAACCCCCGCAAAGATCCCCTCGAGCTCAAAGATCACCCTCTGCACCTGCCCCACCCAGCAGGTGCCCCTGAGCCTCATCCCTCCCACCCACCTGACAGCACTCACCTGCAGAGGTGAAGGCTATGGTGAGTGTGGCGCTGGTGTAGAGAAATCTGAAACGTACAACGGGAGATGGAAAGTGTTGTCCAGAGGGCAGAGTAGAGAGAGCCAAGGTCCTCCCACGTGGGGTCGCAACAGCCCAATCCCTTGGAGAAAGGGATTAGTGCCCGCTCTACAAAGCAAAACTTCTGGGTTCTAATTCCTCCTCACTGTGTGACCTTGGGTAAGGCACTGTCCTTCTCTGTGCCTCAGCAGCCTTTGCTATAAAAGGAAATGACTGGACTGATTTAGAAGTTCTAGGGCACTGTGATTTCAGGACCACAATCCCAAGCTTATGGGGATCTCTTAGCAGTTTGGGGATCTTGCAAGGCATGGGATAATAGAAGCAGTGCCTAAGTGTGATGTTCTGATTTATAATAGGAAATATACATTTGGTCCCTGTCCCCAGTGCCTGACACAGGGCTCCTAAAACACCTGTAAATTCTTCAGTAGTAAGAGCACTAAGAGCATCTTTGTTCTGATCAGGTGACTCTGGGTGGGCTCCTGGATGGCTCCTGCTGGGAGCTGGTCGCCAGAAAGACCAAGCCATAATTAGACACTTGGAATCTTCAGCCGGGCCCGCCCACTTCTGCAAAAAGGGGAAAGGGGCTGGAAAAGGTTAATAAGTGATCAAGCTGGGGCGCCTGGGTGGCTCAGTCGTTAAGCGTCTGCCTTCAGCTCGGGTCATGATCCCAGGGTCCTGGGATCGAGTCCCACATCATGCTCCCTGCTCTGCGGGAAGCCTGCTTCTCCCTCTCCCACTCCCCCTGCTTGTGTTCCCTCTCTCGCTGTCTCTCTCTGTCAAATAAATAAAATCTTTAAAAAAAAAAAAATAAGTGATCAAGCTTACATAAGGAGAACTTCTGGGCTGGTGTATACAACCACATGCCAGGAGGATGACACACCCCAGACGCCACCAGACCAAAGTTCTTGTGCTTGGGACCTTCCCAGACCTCACCCTACATATCTCCCCACGTGGCTATTTATCTGCATCCTTTATCGTATCTTTAAATAAACTGGTAAACATACGTAAATGTTGCCTTGAGTTCTGTGAGCTGTTCTAGAAATAATCCAATCCAAGGGAAAGGAGGTCATGGGAACCTCTGGTTTGTAGCCACATCAGACAGAAGTTGTGGGTAAACTGGGGACCTATCCCCTATGATTGGCATCTGAAGTGGGGAGCAGTCTCATGGGACCCAGCCCTTAACCTGTAGGATCTGAGGCACTCTCCAGGGAGACGGTATCAGAACTGAGTTACATTGTAGGACACTCAGCTGGTGTCACAGAATTGCGTGGTTTGGGGAGACTCCACATACACACGTCATGACGGGATGTGTCAGAAGCGAATTGTTCTGTTGAAAGTCAAGGAGAAATGCAGAAGGAGGTATGTAGGATTTTCCAATACAGTTGGTGTTGAAGTGGGATTTGCTAGAACGGCCCAGGCTCAAAGAAACTTGTGCTTCGAGGAGAGAGAGGGGATGAAGAGCCCCTGGCTCCTGGGTGACCACGGGGTGACCCATGGCGTGGAACAGCAGGTACCCTGCTATCAGTCACTAAAGGGAGAAGTTACCAATTTGGGATTCAGAAACGGACCCAGCTCCCAAGGAGTGGGTTCACGGGATGCACGGGAAGGGCAAAGTAATAAGCAAAAGCTGAAAGATACAAGCGCTCGGTTATTGTGATCCATAATAGCTAACACAAAATTAAAAGAGAGTGCCGGGTCAGCCCTGCGTGCTAGACCAGGGTCAGATGTGGGTAAGTCTGAGCTTTGGCCATTAGCCTCGAAATCACCCCCAAGGGAAAAATGATGCAGGAACAACCAAAAGTCCCTCTAAGACCTCTGGTTCCCAAGAAGGTCGTCAGTGTGGGAGGAGGAAAAAACTCAACTGGGGGGGGATGGTGCCATGCGAAGGAGCTGCTACATTTTGTGGAAGAGTATCCTCAGCTTCCCAGAGAATCTTCCCTGAGATGGAGTGGGAGCGTGCCTAATTTGGGGGCTGTGGTGTCTTTGGTTTTGAATGCTGCAGAGTGGAAGGGCATGTCCGGGTTGCTGCAGGACCTAGAGCTCACGCGTGATCCACACACACAGGAGGCTGTCCCTGGGGGCACAGATAGGGGCCACTGTAAGGTCCCATGCCCCGTACAAAGGGAACATCCCAGATGGAACAGCCCATAGGCTTTGTATGCTAGCCATGTGGGTGTGGCTTTACGGTGACCTGTGTCCAGGTCGTGGTAAATGCTGTGGTGAAGGGGACCCCTTTCATGTGGGCACCCCATAAAACCCATTGCTGCAAAAGGGAAAAACCAGTTTGGGAAGGCTTACTGAGTTTGCTGGCTCAGTTTCCCCTCCTGGGTCTTATAGGTGCTAATAAATATATTAGGTTAATTAACAAAAGAATGGGGACAGGCAGAGGGGAGAATCAAGAGACTGGTCTTAGGGTAGACATTTTTAAATGGTTATTAAAGAATAAGGGAAGGGGCACCTGGGTGGCTCAGTCATTAAGCATCTGCCTTCGGCTCAGGTCAGGATCCCAGGGTCCTGGGATCGAGCCCCGCATCTTGCTCCCTGCTCGGCGGGAAGCCTGCTTCTCCCTCTCCCACTCCCCCTGCTTGTGTTCCTGATCTCGCTATGTCTCTCTCTGTCAAATAAATAAATAAAATCTTTTTAAATAATAAAGAAAGAAAGAATAAGGGGAATAAAGCAAATATTGATGGGAGTGGAACAAAGAGGAAACAGAGGAGAGTCGTGGGTTCACCCTGCTGGGGGGAAATCTCCAGAGGGTTATAGAGATGTAAGATAAATGAAACAGACAGTTATTAGGGTTAAAAAAAAAAAGATGTTGGGCGCCTGGGTGGCTCAGTTGGTTAAGCGACTGCCTTCGGCTCAGGTCATGATCCTGGAGTCTCAGGATCGGTCTGTATCAGGCTTCCTGCTCAGCAGGGAGTCTGCTTCTCCTTCTGACCCTCCCCCCTCTCATGTGCTCTCTCTTTCTCATTCTCTCTCTCAAATAAATAAGTAAAATCTTTAAAAAAAAAAAAAAAAGATGTTAATACAGCACTGCCAAAGGCTGAGTGGGCCAAAGGGACCCCTGCCGGCCCCCAGCATTAAAGTGCCTGCAAACAAGTCCAATCTGTTTGTCCCCAGTTTGAAAAACGTTAAAAGCCAGAAGACAGAGAGATCATAATGAGAAACCCAACCAGCAAGTGCTGGGGGCAATGGCTAAGCAGATTCATCAGGTTCCAGACGGACAGAAGGACCAGGCTCCCTTGACTCTACCCCTCATCTTGGCCCCGAAGCCTTTTGCACAGGAGTGGCCAAAATGGGAAGGGAGTAGAGAAGTTTCCAGGGCTCCTTGGTAAGGGAAGCGTCAGCCGGGCCACAGGCTTCAGTTAGACTGAGAGCACATGATAACATAAGAGTTGGTAAGTTTATGAAAGCTGGAATGTTGAAACATGCTCTCTGTAAAGAAGTTGCTGTCTCCTTTCCCTGATGTTTCACAACTAGATACTACGTCTGGCTGGGAACACCTTACCCACCTGACGGCAGAAACAACCTGCTGACCAAGTCCTAAGGAGGTTGCGGGGAGGAAGGTCAGGGTTACTGGAAGAAAGGTAAATGTTTATAGGAGAACTGGTATGTCTGAACAGGCTTCCAAGAAGAGGCTGTGAGTTCTTTAGGTGACTGGATCATGGGGCTGGACCCTGCGCGTGACTGGCTTCCCCAGCTAGCGCTCTGGGACAGGAGGTGTCTAAATCCAACCTTCCTGTCAACTGGACATGTGCACTGGGAGCCAGTAAGACTGCCCGAGCCCAGACGGTGTGGGAGAGAAGGCAGAGTGCTGGTCAGGCACGAATTCTCTGTGCCGTGACCCTCTGGGGAGCCCACACTGGGGCTTATGGCAAAAGTCTGTGGTCACCTCCCAGCAACAACTGGGACCTTGGACAAGAGAATTTCCATTTCCGGGGCATTTATCATCTTCCTATCAGACACTAATTGAATCCACACAAATAACTGAAGTACAAAAAATGATCTTCAAACATGAAAGACCCACAATGTCTAGGATGGTATCGGAGAAATGCTCTAATGGGGATGGCAATGCCCAGAAGAATTCCATACTAAAAATAGCAGTGGTAAGACAGGATCATGTCGCCTGGGGAATTGCAAGGATGAGATACCATGACCAGGGAGCCTCTTCCACCCCCCCCCACCCCCCCCCACCCCCCCCCCGGCAAGGACTGACTCTGGAATGTGCGGGGAGTGGCTGGATTCTACTGTCACTTGGATGGTGCCCTATAAAGAGCCCCCAGTTGACCAACACAGAGCTACTTGGCTGTGTTCCGAGGTGAAGGGACAACGACATCCTGTTTGGAAGGCCATCACTCTGATCCAAAAAGGTAGAAACAGATCAGCTCAGTGGGCTGAAGGAACCTCATGCTGCTGTCCTAGTAGAGAGGAAAGAAACCTACCATGGAAAAGGCCCCTACGTTCAGGTCTTTCGGACCCACAGGCAGTGGCTAATGGCCTGGCCATTCGGTCCTACAGGAAGGCAATGGAAACTTGGCCATACGGGGCACAGACCTATGGAAATCACTATGGCATTTGAGGGGTGCATGAAAATGGGAGGACTAGTATGTTCGAACAGGCTGTATGTGAAGTGGCTGCCTCTCTCTCTCTCTCTCTCACCCAACCGTGTATGAGGGATGGACACGGTGTCTGAGTGGGGAATGGTTCCCCTATCAGTGTTGTGGTTAGAGGAAATTCCCCTCATGCTACGGTCACAGGACCAGGGCTACCACTACCAGGGCTGGAAGCAGAGATGATTCCTAAGCAAGGAAATTAACTGTGTTCTTAACCATTATGTTACGATTCCTAAGTGCCCGTTGGGGCAGGCTGTGAGCCTTCCCTCTATCTGCCAAAATTGGGACAAACAGGGAAGGCAGCCATCTTGCCTGGTAGGAAAGAGAGCCCGCTTAGTTCTGCGTCGGGGGTAACCTCGCCCTACCGGAAAGGGAAGACACTTGCTGGACGAGTATTCCAGACCAGCACAGTGGCCAAACCCAACATCCCTTCCAGAGACGGAAGAGTTACGGTATCAATGGAGAGAAGGAAAATCAGAGAGTAAGGGGATGAATAAGCAGGTTCTACAAGGAGGGAAATCCAGTACTAGGTGAATACTCCAAAAGAGGCTCAGTGCAAGAGAGGATCTTGTCTCTTCACTCAATTATACCGGATGCCTGAAGGGTAAAGGGATATATTGCTGAGACCCCTCCCGCTTTTGGACCCTGACAAGATCAAATGGAAGCCTGTGAGCATAAGCGTCCCAGGGAGACATTTTCAGATGGTATGATGATGGACTGGATGGTTACTAATGACTGAATGTGTTTCTGTTAATCTGCCAGTGCCTTTCGACCTTTATGATCGTTTCTGCTACAAGGGATCCATGTCCGAAGACCAGGGGCTGCACTGTAATATTGTGGTTTACACAAAGAAATACATATTTGGTCTTTGTCCTGAGTCCCTGACACAGGGCTCCTAAAACCCTTGTAAACTCCATGATAACAGCAAAAGGAGCATTTTTTGTTCCAGTGGGGTGACTCTGGTAGGTTCCCGGATAGCTCCCAGATGGGGATTGGTCACCAGAAAGACCAAGGATTGGTTAGGATTAGAAGTTTGGGATTTTTTTGGCAGCCCCTCTCCCCTGCCCCACTTCGCTAGAGAGGGGAGAGGGGCTAGAAATGGTTAGTAATTGATCAAGCCTACATGAAGAAGCCTCCATAAAATCCCACTAGGATGGGGCTCAGAGAGCTTCCAAACCTGTATGCTTTCATCTGTATCCTTTACCGTATCCTTTAATAAACTGGTAAACACAAGTGTTTCCCTGAGTTCTGTGAGCTGTTCTAGCAATTAATCCAGTCCAAGAGGGAGGAGGTCATGGGAACCGTGATTGGCAGCCAAAGCAGACAGAAGTTGTGGGTAACCTGTGGGGGGACCCACCAACTTGCAATTGGCATCTGAAGTGGGGGGCAGTCTTGTGGGACCGAGCCCTCAACACGCAGGATGTGACACTCTCCCCAACGAGATGGTGTCAGAACTGAGTTAAATTGTAGGACAATCAAAGAATTGCTTGGTGTGAGGGAGAAACCCACACATTTGCTGACCAGATGTATCAGAAGTGAGGTGTTGTATGTGAAAGTAAAAGAGAAACACAAGGAAGACCGAGTTTTTCCTAACATACGAAGGCTGGAGAGGAGGCAGGGGCCAAAGGAAGGGGTGGGAAGAAGAGGAGACCGGGAGCCAAGCCAAGGACAGACTGAGATAAAGTCATTATACACCCAACGGCTTACAGGGCAGGAACTTGCTTTATCAGCCAGCCCTCCAGTCCCTCTGTCTGATAACTCATTTTCCATACATCTGCCAGGAGCCTCCTGCCCTTGGTCCTATTAAGGCCTTGGCAGGCCACTGCTCATCACTGAAGCTGGCTGGCTACCGTGGCATCCTGTCTGAGCAAGAGGAGGTCCCTTCCCCTCCATGAAACCCCCACTGTCTCCGCTCCAGTGAGGGGGTCAGGAAATCCCACCATCGGGGATACCCAGGAGACCTTACTAAATCTCTGGGGAATGACGGGGGCGGGGGGATGAGATGACAATTAAGCCTGAGGGACCTGGATGTGAGGCCTGGTAGGATCCCTGAGTGACAATTTTCAGTTCCCCTATTTTAACCCAGGCACCAAGCCAGCCCTCAAAGGAAATTGGCCTGGGCTCCAGCTCAATTTGAATACACAATCCCATTGAACAAAGGAAGAACAGGGCAAAGGTAAGGGGAGTAGGGGTGCAGAGAGGAGGGTGGATTTAGACAGAGTCCACATCCTGTGCTGTTTCTGACAGTTGCTGGGCCAGGGCCGGGCAGGGCTGCCCTGTTGCCCAGCTGGGTCTCCTCCAAGCATGGCTACTGCTAGAGGAATCCGTCTTGCCTATCTCTGCCCAGGCCGGGCCTTTGGGACTTACATGGCAATGAGACGAGCCACGGTGGTCTTGAACCTGTCAAAGATGAAGCCGGCGGGGAATGTCATGAAGTTGTTCATGAAGGACCCCAGGGTAAAGATGAGTGAGAACCTCTCATCCTGGGCTTTGCAGTCTGGAGGAGAGAAAGGGAGATCTCAGGGAGTTGAAACGTGACAGCCTCGGGGGCTGGTACTTCCCTCCCCAGGCACCTCCTAGACCAAGGTTGGGGAGTTGGTGGGGAGGATGACACTCCTCACTTCTGACCCCAGAAAAGCTGGCACTGTGGGGGGGAGGGGGTGGGGGTAGAATCCCTCCCACCCCTTCCTACTGCCTGGGAACCACATTCTGCTTCCCTAGAGGAGTCCCTTACCAGCCTCCCCTGTGACATTGCCCATCGGCCCCACATCCGGTTCACATAGCTCCTCAAAGTAATGCTCTGTTTTGAAGACAAACACCAGTGATGCCCAGCCGAAGAGGACTCCTGCAAAGCCAAGGCATTCCAGCAGCCCCGTCAGCAGGGTGGCCACTCGAAGGGGCAGACCCTGGCCTGGCATGGCCTGAGGTAGAGCCGATCCCCAAATCTCAGCGAGGGCCTCCCGGGCTGACCACAGGCACTTCAAGGGCTGGCCTTTGGGCACTTGGAAAATTCCTCTGGCAAGCCCTTCTGTTCAAATAGGCTCTGGTTCTGGCTTTTTTCGGGCCTGGGCAAGAAACAGCGGTGGGCAATTCTCTGGATCCTGTAAAAGAAAGCAGAGGCTGCTTGATACAGGGGACTTGTAAGAAAGGTAGAGGTGGACAAAGCGTGCTGGGAGGGGTGCAGAAAGGGCCAACTGTTAGAACAGCTGCAAAAAGCCTCGCTACCCCACAACGGCAGCACCTGGGGATGCAGAAACCGAGTCCAGTTCTGAAGACTGTCCACAAAAATAGAAACAGCAGCGACTGGGGTGGGGGGCGGTGGTGACACTTCACGGAGCTCCTCGCAGGCTCAAAACAACCTGGCAAAGTTAGCTGTCTTGTCTTCTTCAGTTTACCGACAAGAGAATAAAAGCTCCATGGGATGTTATCAACTTGCCCAAGGTCACATGAGCTAGTCAGTCACAACACAGGCCAGTCTAAAGCCCAAAATATCCACCTCCACCAGGACCTTCCGTGACCCTCTGCCGAAAGGGCGCCGCGGGGCCCGCGCCCCGCCCCCCGCCCCCCCGCGCGCACCTGCTCCTGCACGCGCACCCCATCCGGCCCGCGGGCGCCGCCCCCACCCCCACCCCCGCCCCGGGCCCATGCTCCGCGGGGGTCACCGGCCTCCCGCCCCGCGCCTCGGGCCCCGGAGCCCTACCCGGCGGCCTTCCTCGCTGGCACTCCCGCGCCACCCACGCCCCGCGCCTTTTGGATTCGCCCCGCCCCGCCCCGCCCTCACCCCCCGCCCCGTCCGGAAGGGCCCTGAGTGGCGGGCGGTGTCGGGGGAGGTCCGCCGGCCCCGGTTCTCTAGCACTTCCTTTCTGCCCCGCTCACCGTTTCTCGAGCGCTTGTCCGCCCAGGCCTGGGATCTTCGCTCCGTTACCTCCCTCCGGCCCCAGCCGCGCCTGTTGGCATCTCTGCATCTTTCTTGATCCTCGTTCAGCCTCCTGGCCGCTTCGCTTCTCCTCCTTCCCCTAACCAAATTCGTTTCAGAACTGTGGCTCGCGGGCGCCTGGGTGGCTCAGTTGGTTAGGCGACTGCCTTCGGCTCAGGTCGTGATCCTGGAGTCCCGGGATCGAGTCCCGGGATCGAGTCCCGCATCGAGTCCCCGCATCGAGTCCCCGCATCGAGTCCCCGCATCGAGTCCCGCATCGAGTCCCGCATCGAGTCCCCGCATCGAGTCCCGCATCGAGTCCATCGAGTCCCGCATCGGGCTCCCTGCTCGGCGGGGAGTCTGCTTCTCCCTCTGACCCTCCCCCCTCTCATGTGCTTGCTCTCTCTCATTCTCTCTCTCTCAAATAAATAAATAAAATCTTTAAAAAAAAAACAAAACTGTGGCTCGCACGGGCAGACCCACGGAAAAGAGCACAAACACCCAGCACACACGGAGGACACCGATGGCTACCTGCGGACGCACCGTATTCCAGGTGCTTTACCTTGCCCGCTTGCGTGGCCACAGAATACATGTTTGCCCATTTGCCCACCAGCTCAAACCTCGGTCCTGATCTCAGGCTCCCAGGGCTGCCAGCAAATCCCTCGCACAGAATCAGAGAGCCGAGTACCAGGACTGAACAGCTTTCCAGAACCCAGCCCCACCCCGGCCCTGGTGGGGTGCCCTTGCCTTTTCACTCCCAAGGATCCCTATGATTACTCCCTGCCTCACCCCCAGCCCAGGTTCTGAAAGATTTTACCCACCAGACTGCGTTAATTAAGCATTCATTGCTCCATTTTTTATTAATCAAAGACATATATAATTGCCCATTGGAGCTTGTGATCAACGTGAGAAAGGCAGCTGAGCCAGCTGTGTTGCTATCATTCCAGCCCAGAGCAAGTGAGCTGACAGCTTCCTTGGCCTATGCAGCCATTGCCCCCATTAAAAGCTGAATTTGGGGGAGAGCTTCTTGCATATTCCATGGAGTCTGCAGACTTCCATGCCCAGCCTTCTGGATTCTCCCTGGGGCAAGGGACTCAAGCTATTCCAAGCACGCACTTCTTTTGGATGAGAAAGAAATAAGAGGTTAGAACCACGAGTGGCCAGAACCAGAGAGTATTTTCCAGATCTCTACCAAAGCACCAAGGATAAAGAGAGTGTGACCACCAAAGGGACTGACTGCGTGGGGAAGGGGCACTCTGGGCCTGGACCCAGGTACTCACTGCTCACAAAGCCCCAGGCATGCTCTTTGGCTGCCCCACCTGCAAGATGAGGACTGCAGTACTTTAATTACAATATTTGTCAAGAAATACGAGGTGAGTTTATGAAGTCCTTGCAGGTATGGTAGGTAGTCCCCTGACTGCGGATGGTACTGGATTCCCCCGTTTCCGGATATGAAAACAGCCAGAGAAGCAGCTTTGAGCGGGGACTTCAAAGGAATTTGACCAAGGTCACTCCACAAAGTTGCCAGTGTCTGCCCGACTCCCAAACCTGTGCTCTGAACCCTCCCAGTCTTAACATCTCGTACTCGGACATTAGAGAAAACGAATCTTGTCTTTAAAAAATGAATTGATGGGAACAAACCATAAGAAAATAGAGTAGCGGGCACCTGGGTGGCTCAGTTGGTTAAGCGACTGCCTTCGGCTCAGGTCATGATCCTGGAGTCCCAGGGAGCCTGCTTCTCCCTCTGACCCTCCCCCATCTCGTGCTTTCTCTCTCTGTCTCATTCTCTCTCTCAAATAAATAAATAAAATCTTAAAAAAAAAAAAATAGAGTAGCCTGGGACAAACAGGCCTTAAGATGTAAGATTTTTCCATCTTACTGCAAAACACAAAGACACTGAAATTAATTCAAGCCCTCTCTCCTGTTCTGGCTTACATTTTGGTCTCCCAAGGACCTGGGGGATCAGTCAGTGTGGAAGTAGCAAGGGAGGAACAGAAAAAGTCAAAGCAAAGAGAGAGAGAGAGATTTTAGAATGTAAATCAGCAAGAGCAGTCGGAAAGGCCCAGCTCACGGGCTGTCTGTACATCCAGGACTGGAGCTCGGGACTTGGCACAAGTTGCCAGGGCCTTTGTCCACCTGTATCTTGTTCTCTCTGTCGTGGTTCTCAGCGTCCCCACCCCCACCCCCAAAACCCACCTCAAGGTCTGCAGGAGGCACTGCGTCTCTCTAGCCATGCGGCAGACTTACTGAAACTGTTGGGACAGAATATTAGAATGTTCTCTGAACCGTTCCCGTTTGATTTGGTTCGAGTTCCAGCAGCCAGCAGAGGCAGATGCTACCCTCATCCCTCTCCTGCCTCGCTCCACTCCGATGAGGATTAATGTGTAACATCAGAGAGAGGAGTGATTATAACAAGGTCTGACAGGGCGCCCGATGTCTTCATTCCTTTGCTCTTCGCTTCCTTCCTTCCCCTTCACCCTGCGTCGTTTTTTTTATTGATTGATTTTCCTCAACAAATAGACGTGGTGCAACTAGGCTTTGTGCCCGGGGTGAGGTTTGGAGAGAAGAGATTCAGCACCTTCCCTCAAGGATCTCATTCTTGAGTTGAGGAGACAGACAACAAAACCCCAGCAGAAGGCAGCCCGGCACATTCAGAGGCATGGAGCCTTGATACAGGGAGAACATTCAAGAACCAGCGAGAGCAGAGACCGGCCACGGGAGTGGCAGTGCTTGAGGCTGGAGCGGCCAAGCTAAGTGAAGGCATTTGGACTTGGGCCCATATCAATCATGTCCTATTGATCCTACCCCATAATACACCTCCTATCTATCCTTGACCACTGCCCTGCTCAGACGCTCACCATCTCTCACCCGGACATTGCCTCCTTCCACACCCTCCCCGATCCGCTGCAGCAGTTGATTTCCATGGTTCCCAGCTGGTGACACTACTTGACCGCTCAGAGGCCAGAGTTCCAGGCAGCCAGCTGGTGAGGGCCAGTCGGGGTCCTGGGATACTAACCATGGGACATTATTGCATTGGAGCACTGAACTAGATCTCTTGCCTCCCACCCAAGTACTGGTGCTGAGGGGCTTTTCCTTCCCAGGCTCCACCCTATGGGTGTTTTTATGGCAACGGGGCATATTTACTTAGGTCAGGGAAGAATGGTTTGCCAAACAAGGCCGGACGAAGGAGCTGCACCAAGCCATCCCCTGGGGCATAAGCAGTGGCTAGTCTTCAGCTGGGCCACCTTCCAGTGCAAGCCCCCCTCAACCCCTCACCCCCCAACCCTGGCACTGAGCTCTTTCCTCAAGCCACATAGTCTGTCTGGCTCCTCATCCCTTCCTAAGTTTTTATATGTGGATACACTGTGAGCCGTTCATACAAAGGGTTTTAATTGCTGATATGCCAAATGAACAAACAAAACAAAACATAAACTTCTTGTCCTTTCAAGATCTGGGTTCACGCATTTCAAGATGTTTGGTTTTCCCAGCTTGGGTCTTGAATGAAGTTTCAAGAGCTTATTTTGGAAAACAAAAGTAAGCAAACATTATCTCTTTCATTTCAACTGAGGGGGAAAATACTAATCATTTTTTTAAGATTTATGTATTTATTTTAAAGAGAGTGAGCGTGCGGTGGGGAGGGCAGAGAGAGGGGGAGAGAGAATCTCAGGCAGACTCCCCTCAGTGCTCGCTGCTCGATCCCACGACCCCTGAGATCATGACCTGAGCTGAAACCAAGAGTCAGATGCTCAACCCACCGAGCCACCCAGGCACCCCGAAAAATACTAAACATCTTGAGGCATTGCCAAAACAAAACCAAACCCACACACCGATACTGGGCCACTTACTGGTCTTCCCGATTCCTCTGATTTCAGTTTCCTCATCTATGAAATTGGAATCAGGTTGTTGTATGGATTAAAGATCAGGTAAGGAGGGCGCCTGGGTGGCTCAGTTGGTTAAGCAACTGCCTTCGGCTCAGGTCATGATCCTGGAGTCCCGGGATCGAGTCCCGCATTGGGCTCCCTGCTCGGCGGGGAGTCTGCTTCTCCCTCTGACCCTCCCCCCTCTCATGTGCTCTCTGTCTCTCTCATTCTCTCTGTCTCAAATAAATAAATAAATTCTTTAAAAAAAAAAAAAGATCAGGTAAGGAAATCACCCAATCAGTACACTGGCTAATTAATAAATAGCAGCTAGGGGCGCCTGGCTGGCTCGGTCGGAAGAGCCTGCAACTCTTGATCTCAGGGTCATGAGTTCAAGCCCCATGTTGGTTGTAGAGATGACTGAAAAAAAATAAATAAAATTTAACAAATAGCAGCTATTGTTGTTACCAAAAATGATTTAAGTACTGAAAAGCAAAGAGGAAATCATGAAGTCAGATTTGAGGAGGATTACAAAGTACTCCTAACCTAAAAGAGAAATAAATGAGAAAAAAAACCCATCATATAATGGGTGAGCTTGGTCATTTGTTCCAGAAGCGCTGCCCCAGAGAACTGATCCCTAGGTAGCACCCAAATGCAGATCAGTGTCATCCAGGTGCCCTCCCCCACTTGACCAGCCTTGTCCAAAGTGGGGGGGGTGGGGTGCCTGGTTGATTATAC